ACCTGGGCAAGGGTCCTGACTGGGAATCAAACTGGCGATCTTTGGGTGCATGGGTCAACACTCACCCACTGAGCCACACCGGCCGGAACTACTACTACTTTTTAAAACAAATTAATAGTCTGGCCGGTGTGGCTCAGTGGGTGAGCATCAACCCATGCACCAAGAGGTTGCTGGGTCGATTCCTGGTCAAAACACATGCCCGGGTTGTGGGCCTGATCCTCAATGGGGTCATGCAGGAGGTGGCCAATCGGTGTTCTCTCTTATTGATGTTTCTTCCTCTCACTTCTTTCCTCTGTAAAATCAATAACAATTTTTTTAAAAAAGCAGTAGTTCCTAACCTTTTTGGTAAAGATTTTTGGGATAATCTATTGAAAGATAGGGACTTTCTCCCGCCTCCCCTCCCCCACTACCCTCACTTATGGAAATCCATAATGAGTGTATATAAAATTTCATAAAACATCAGGAGGTCCCCAGACTGACCCCCTTGGAGGGCTGTAAGCGCCAAGAAAATCCTGTCTTGAAGAGACTGTCACTAGCAAATGTTAGGTCACGTGCACGTCTGAAAGATTTCTCTCCATCCGCACCTCATCTTGGCCTCTGACCACCCTCGTCATGGTTCCTCTGGCTTCTCCGACCTTTCTCTTCCTGCTCAAGCTATTTGGATGTTCTTTCTCCATTGCTGTGGTAGGGTTTTAAGACAGCCCCCACGACCCTCACTCCCTGGTGTCACTCCCAGGTTATGTGACAAAGGGAGATTATCCGGATGGACCTAACCTAGTATCATGAGCCCATGAACAGCCGAGAGTGTCCTCTCATTGGTATTGGAAGGGAAGTCCGAGGGACTCAAACGTGGCCGTCACGCCATTGCTGGCTTTGAAGGTGGAGGACACGACGCATGGCGGGAATGCAAGTGCCTCTGGGGGCAGAGTCCCCCGGCTGGCAGCCAGCAGAACATGGGACCTCAGACCCACAACAGCAAGGAACTGGATTCTGCCAACAACCAGAACGAACTTGGAAGTGATTCTTCCCTGGACTCTCCAGATAAGGGCCAGACTCGCCCACATCTTGATTTCGGCCGTGCGCAGAGAACCCACATCTTCCACCTACTGCTTGGAGATCTTAAGTGGGTGTTAGTTTAAGACAACAAGTTTGTGGTTATTTGTTATGCGGACTGAAAAGTTAATGCAATCGGTTTGCATCTCTGTGCAGCTGGCTTTCATTCTGTTGGCTATTTCTCGACCCAGCTCATTTCCTCCCAGAGTTCCTAAAATGGCTGTGTGCCCCTCAGAGGGTGAGGTACCACCGCGCTCTGGATGCCTCTGAGCCTGGCTCCTAACAGCCCTTTCCCCATGGTCTACACTGGGAGCCTTTCTCAGTTTCGAAATGTTAAAAGTTTCAGAGTCAAAGCTTAAGGGGACATCGGGCCACTGCTGGTGAGGAAAGCTGAGGCGGGGCCTTGACTCAGAGGGGTTCTCATTTCCAAAGGGGAAGAGATATTTCTGGGTTGAAAGTCCCAGAGCAAAGCAGCTTGCTCGGGTGCCTGGGAGAGCAACCTGCAGGTGGCATGGAACGAGAAGAGGACGGTCCCAGAGCCCCTGCAGATGGCTGCAGACCTTGTGTATAAGACGTGGGACCCTGGCCTGCCGTCTGGGAAAGGGGCGGTGAGGGTGAGATCGAGTGGGGGAGGGGGCTGGTCCCACAGGCCAATAGCTTATCCCTCAGGAGCCTGGGCCCTTTACCTAGTCCGGAGGCAGAGACACTCGGAAAGCTTTCAACATGTTCCATCCTGTTCTCAGCAGCAGCTTTGGACATCGATTGCTGTTTGGGGTCTGTGTATCTGCATGGCGTGTGTGACAGACATGGGCACGTCTGTTACCTGGCGCTTGAGGCCTGAGCTCCTGTTTTCCTTCCTCCTTTCTCCCAAGAAGAGCGAGCAGGTGTGGGGAACGGAGTATTCTAGCCCTGAGAGCGGGTCCCTGAAGGTCTTGCCTCCCTTTACCCATAAAATACCGGGAGCCCTACTTCCTGCCTGTGTGATGGAAACTATTCATTTCTGGAACCAATCAGTTATTTCTGCTTTAATGAGCTGGTGTCTTTTCTTTCTGGGAAAACTCCAATTGGCTCTTGATTCGACCCTCTTTTTCTTGGACCGGGATCTCACGCACTTGGAGCCCAAATCTCTTGACTGGGCAGCCTTAGGCCTTGTGGGTCCAGGGCCCAGGGTGGACACACTGAGGGGCTGGGGAGGAGGGGTGAGGGCCTGCCTCTGACTGCCGCCTGCCCCACTCCCGATGGGAAGCCCCCTTGCTCAGGCTTATGAGACTCCCTCAACCTTCTGAATTTGTTCTGCCCCGTTCTGCGGGCTTGGGAATGAGTTTTTAGATTTGTGGCTTTGCTTGTAATCAAGAACCCTGCCTAGACCTACAGAATTTCTTCTGCCCCAGGTCTGGGCTCCTCTGGAAACCTAAACAACGCAGCAGCGTCAGAGCGAGCTGTGCAATGTTTGTAAACGCATGTGGGTGTCGAGAAGCTGCGTGTGACCACAGGAATTCTCAGTGCGACTCTTCACAACTCCGACTTTCCATCCAGCTGGAAGGGGTGCTCCGCAGAGGAGCCTGGAGGGAGAGGGAGGGTCTCCAGTGCTGGCCGGGGAAGGGGGTGGGGTGGCTGAGGGGCCCTCAGCCTCCCAGGAACTGTATTCACTCCTTACAGGTTGGACTCCACAAACATCGCTTCACAGACGCAGCAGCTGCGTCTACTAGGGGCTTTGGGGAACCTTCTGTCCCGCCCCTCTCCTGCATCTCAGGACGCAGCCCAGGAGGCTCAAGGATAAGGGGAAATTATTTTAGAGGCACATTCTTTAGCCACAAACCTGCTTCTGAAAGGCCCTGGTCTTCTTCCAGGGAGTCTACCTATTCCCCGCAGCACCACCCCTAGAACTCGCCCCTCCTCATACCCTTGCAGAGAGAGCCCCCTTGGCCTGGGCCTACCAGTGGTCCCCTCCTCCCCTCACCCGGGGAGCAGACAGTGGTATGTGCAGGCCGGACGTGCGGCTCGGCTGGGCTGAACTGTATTTCCCAGCACTCCCTCTCCTGGTGTTTCCACGGGGTGGGGGTGGAGGTGACAGACTCCCGCGGGAGGTTTGGGGGTGAAGTGGCAGTGCTGGGTCGCTTACACATTCTGCTGCTGCTCGGGGCTCACCCATCACCTCCCCCGTGGGAGGCGGCTGCTGGCCGCCCCGCTCCTCCAGGGGCTGCGGTGCCCAGGCCGCGCGTGCTCAGCTCCCAGGCGAGGCCTGGCTGCGGCAGGACACGCGCACCGCCCAGCGCCGAAGTGACAAGAACGGCCGTGGTTTCTGTCTGTCCCCAGCTTGTGCTATGGATTCTGCCTCACTCTCGATCTCCCCCACTTTACAGCCATATTTCGTTCCCAACCACCTCCCGCGGTGGGCCTCGAGGTCCAGCGTCGGATGTGAGACCGCAGCTTTGCAGACAGTGCTCCGCCAGCGCCCACACGGCCCAGGTCGAGTCCCTGCTCGGAGCTCGCTCTGAGACTGCTGCGTGTTTCAGGTTTCCAAAGGAGCCCAGACCCGGGGCAGCAGAAATTCTGTGGGTCCGGGTGGAGGGCCCTCTCTGCCTCCTGCGGTTCTGCTCCTCTGACCGCCGCGGGCCGAGACCCGTCTTCCCGACATGTGTTACTTCACACGGGGGAGGTGAAGGGGGCCCAGTCCTGGAGTGTTTGGTTCACTAGGAAACAGTGGTTCCCAGACTGGAGCGTGTGTCTGAATGACCTGGAGGGCTTGTTAAAAGCCAGATGGCTGGGGCCCACCCAGGGTTTCTGATTCTCAGGTCTGGGTGGGGCCTGAGAATTTGCATTTCTAGTAAGTTCCCGGGTGATGTGGATGCTGCTGGTCCAGAAGCCATGTTGAGAAGCCTGCTGTATATGGCGGTGTCCGCCAAGGTGAGGGGTACCGCTGCCCACGGCAGGATCCCAGAAGGGGAGGCTGCAGCAGCGCCTGGAGGTGACAGGGATCCCTGCAGGCCCTCTGGGGTCGCAGGCCAGCTCCTCAGCCTCCTTTGGGGGGGGGGGGGGCGGGCAGCAGCAGTGTCTCTGTCTTCTGCAAGGCAGCCTGGCTGTGGGAGCCCAGGTTCAGGGAGGCAGACCCAGTGTGAACCCCGACCTTGTCATCTGTACCAGTGTCCTTGGGCAAGTGGCCTTCTGGTACGACAGGAACGGTGGTGCCGCGCAGAGTTTTCACTGGGATGATGAGCATGGTGTGCGCTCCATCTCTGACCTGACTTTTGTCAGTGAGGATTTAGAAACGTGTAACTGAGTTTTTGACCCTAAGTGTAAGGCTTTCCATCCACTCGTCCTCAGTTCGGTTTGCTGGTTTAGAGCCATTGTCCCAGCCTGCCCAGGGGCTGTCCTCTGGCAGCCTGCCTGCCCGTCCCTGGTGTTAGGGTTCACAGAGGGGGTGGGAGAGCAGGGCTTGCCTCCAAGGTCAGGGAAGAGTTGGAACTCTGACTTGCAAAGCTGCCTTCATAGCTTCTTGTGAGCAGAGTCTACGCCCCAATTGGAAACACCAACTTGAACACTTTCTGTGAAATGGCAGAGGAAAAATGGTCCCACGTACTTACCCCGCTTGGCCTGCTGCCCATGTGGATACTTACTGTGTGTGAGTCTGAAGCCAGGAGACACTGCATCTGAGATTTGATTTCTATACCCCTGGGCAGCCTAAGTGACCAGCTTTAAGAGGGGGTACTTTGGGGGGTTCTTTCCTCAGTGGACCCTCTTCCCCTTGAATAAACAACCAAAAAGAGAACTTAGGAACAAACTTCTTATAGAATTTAATGTCTTCAGTGGTGGACGGACTGAGGCCAAGGAGAAATATGGCAGGATGCCGGGGGGAGGGGAGGGGGGGTTCCAGAGGGCTGGCCTTGGGTGGCTGACTACAAGCTCGCCAGGAAATTTCTCTCTCTCCATCTGTTCATGGCTGCTCCTTAAACCCGGATCTGCTGTTGGTCCTTCTTCTTCACCTCTGCCCAGATGCATGACAGGTCCTGGATGAACTGCTGGATCTAACGAGGCAAGGGGACCAGAGTTCACCCTACCCAGCGACAGGCCATCCTATCCACAGACAGAGCATGTCCAAGAGTTACCGTTTTCCTATGACCGACTCCTGAAGCCATGTCCCCTCATCTGACAATTATTCCAGTTGACATGGAGGATCAGGCTTTCTAGACTAACAGCAATACCTACCAACGGAGTAGGAACTCCTAGAGGCAGACACCGAGATGGGAAGAAGTACAGGCTGACAGTCTGACTAAAGGAAGAAGAGAGAGGACCCTGAGCAGACCAGGGACTAGAAACATTTAGCAGGCAGCGTCCAGCCGGTGTCGGGCAGATGGCTCCCCACAATTTAACAACCTTTAAGGTGGTCGTTGACCTGAATCCCAGACCTGATGTTCATTATGCTAATCTCGAGTCATGTAGGAAGTTTGAATTCTATTTGCTGGCTTCTGTTTTTTTTTTTATCCTCACCCGAGGATATTTTTCCATTTTTTGTACAGATAGGGTGGGAGGGAGAGAGAGAGAGAAACATCGACGTGAAGGGACACATCGAGTGGCTGCCACCCACACGACCAACCAGGGCCGGGGACAAACTGCAACCGAAGTACGTGCCCTTAGCGGGAACTGAACCCGGGTCTCTCCGGACCGCAGGCCGACGCTCTAACCGCTGAGCCAAACTGGCCAGGGCTGCTGGCTTCTGTTTTGAAGAACATGTAACCAGTAGGAAACAGCGCTGCCTTCCAGGTGGGAAGACCTGGGGTCCTTTTCTGGGATTCAGTTTCTTCATCTTTAAAAAGGGCAGGGGGAGGAAAGGTTGGCCTAGATGACCTCTAAAATCTCAGTTCTAAAACTCCTTTTCAGGAATGTTCCTGGAGACAGGACTACACAGATTGTCCAAAAATCTCAACAAATCTGTTAGTAGCAAATGCTGGTACTGTTACTGCCGTGACCCTTGTTTTGCAGAAGAGGAAGCAAAGGGTCAATGAATTAAAGTAACGTTCCCAAGGTCACAGAGAAGACAAGCCCAGCATTTCCCAAACTTTGTTCTTATAATAAGTAATCACATGCCCCCCCACCCCCCAAAAGGATCCAGTGGTCAAGTAAGTTTCAGAAACATTAAACTGAAGATAAATTATATTGAATCTGCTTAGAGAGTCTCAGAACAGAACCTCGCGAACTATCCAAGTTTGTTTAACTGCAGAGTTTTCTAAATTTATTAATCCACAGAGTCCTTTTATTCCTCCATAGGAAACTTACTAACATCTTGGGATTCTAGGGTTTTCCAAGCCCAGTTTGGAAAATGCTGCTCCAGACAGTTTGGGCTTTTTTCAGGAGTAATGCTGGGCGTTCACGACACCGTAGATGGAATTCAAACTGTCCTGGCCCTTCGCAGAATCACTTGTCCGAAGCCGTACTATGGTGCTGGGCTCCTAGTTCTAGTAAGAGGTTCCTGAAGCCCATGCTTGGATGTGTTGTAGGGATTTGTTGAGAACATTGTTGATTGAGTGTCTCTGAAGCTTCCTCGAGAAATTAGAGTAGAGTGCTGGAAAAGGTTTGTTTTCTCTGAGGAAAACTTATGTTTTTCTGTTTTGGTACCAGAACTATGTGTTGCTTTTCCTCCTGGTCACCAGGAAGCTCAGAGCCAACTACTTCCCTTTATAATACAAGATTCTACAGTCTTTATTTCTCTCTCTTGCCCTGACTTCAGATTTTAGCTTATATTTTTCCTGGTCCTTATTTTTCATTTTTCAGACTACTTGATTTCTCTCAGAAGACTCCTAGCTTTTGGGAATGAAGTGGGATAGTTTAAAACAACATTTGGGCCCTGGCCGGTTTTGCTCAGTGGTTAGAGCGTCGGCCTGCGGTCCAGAGAGACCCAGGTTCGGTTCCTGCTAAGGGCACATACCTCAGTTGTCCCCGGCCCTGGTTGGGTCGTGCAGGTGGCAGCCACTCGATGTGTCCCCTTCACATCGATGTTTCTCTCTCTCTCTCCCTCCCACTCTATCTGAACAAAAAATGGAAAAATGTCCTTGGGTGAGGATAATAAAATAAAATAAAACATCATTTGGGCTATATTAAGTATTCCTGCAGAGGCAGATCAAGGTTGAAAGGGAGTCAGAAAGCTCACAGTTTGGGGTGGATACACTGGAAGCCATGGTCTCAGCAGGGAATGCAGGCAGGGCAGCAGCGGGAGCTCACACCTCCTGCCCCCCATCTTTACAGCAGCTAAAGGAAGGGGCCTGAGGACCTCCGGGAGTCCCTGAGACCCCACCGCTGGGAGAGAGGCTGCAAGGCCAAACACTCTTTTGATAATCTAAGATATTATTATTATTATTATTTCGCTCTTATTCTCTCGTGAGTGTACAGTGGCTTTTAGCAGAGTAGAATGTTTCCATGACATGGGCTGTCACACAGAGGGAATGTGAATGCAGGTAGGAGAACCCGCCTGTCCTCTATGAAGCCAGACATCAAGGGAATTTGTAAAAATGTCAAATAACACCACTCACCTCACTAAGATTTTTGAAAATGTACTTTCATTAAAAATGCCATTTATGTTCATTTGCCTCTTGTTATTTGAAGATGAACAGAATTAAGTATTTTTAGGTTTTCTGTTTGAGTTTCTAATATGGTAAATAACAATTGATGTAACTCATATAAACAGAAGTTCTTTGAGGGTCTTCAATACATTTTTAGAGAGTAAAGGTATCCTGATACCAAAAAAGTCTGAGAATTGCCCTGGCCAGTTTGGCTCAGTGGTTAGAACGTCGGCCCATGGACCAGAGACTCCCGAGTTTGGTTCCTGCTAAGGGCATGTACCTCAGTTGCAGTTTGTCCCCAGCCCCAGTTGGGGTCCTATGGGTGGCAACCAGTTGATGTATCTCTCTCACATCCATGTTTCTCTCTCTCTCTCCCCCCATCTCTCCCTCCCGCTCTATCTGAAGATAAATGCAAAAATGTCCTCGGGTGAGGATAAAAACAAGTTTGAGAATTGTGGCTTCAGAAGAAACTTACTAACTCCTGTTACAATCTTTGGACTGTCAACAGTTCTGCCCTAACATGCCTTAAGAAGCAGGTGGATTTTTGGGTTCAGGGAAATCCTTCTTCCTGGCTGGTCAGAGGGTGAAATCCTTTACATTTCATGAGTTTTCCTGTTGTTGTTGTTGGTAAACAGGGGAAGTGCCTCTCAGCCGGGTGCTTTTTTGGGTTTGTGTTTGATCTCCAGTCTCCAAATATTATCAAGCGCCTGCTGTGAGGCAGGCATTGTGCTAGACTCTGGGGACACAACTGGGAACAAAACAAAAATGCTTTCAGGAGCTCACTTTCCACCATTTCACAGAAGAGCTAAAGACTTTGCCAAAGGAACAAACAAATCGTTGTGATTCTGCGCATGTTGCAAGAAGCACGGCAAATTCATCTGCTGATACAGAGTCTCCCAAATTATGGGGTGTGTTCACCTTTGGTCAGAAGTGAGATGATTTTAGGTGGAACATGGACCTGGCATCACGCAGCTTTGAAGAAGTTATTTCCTTTTGGTTAATTCAAAGAGAAAATCTCAGATAGGGACTAATAGACTCTAAGATTTCCCTGAACTTGCTGAGTTACCTCCCTTCTCCCTCACCAATAGTCTCTCTTCCCAAAGGGTGGGCCTCAGGCATAAGCCTCCAGGAACTTACTAGACTAATAAGACTTTTGCACAGTGAATTCAAGAGTGAGTCCCTGCTACCATCCGAGTTGACTGGGGCCAACAGGGTCTTGGCTCTAATGCAGTGGTTCTCAAAGTGTGGAACCCAGACCAGCACCATCACCAGGGACTTGTTGAAAATGGAAATTCATGGGTTCTCACTTCAGACCTACTGAGTCAGAGACTCTGGGGGTGGGACCCAGCGATACTCTCCAGACCCTAGGTGATTCTGATCCTGTCAACATTTGAGAACCATGGCTCCATCCGGTTCATCCACTCAACCAATCAAGAACCATCTTGGCTCAGTGGACACAGCCCAACCTGCACCTGCGCCTCCTCTTACCATGTCCAGCTGTTTGTGCGTGTCCTCTAGGGACACATTGGTTCTCTCCTTCAGCTGCTTGCTCACGATCTGGAAGAGGTTCAGTGTTGCCATCTTAATGGTGCCGAGCAAGAGGGTCTTCTTGGCGGCGGTGTTCTGGATGTGCGCCCAGCGAGATTCCTAGGGAGGGGATGAGGAAGGAACGTGAGCGCAGCAAACGTGTATGTGCCGCGCCCCATGTGTCCCTCTGTCATTCACCCAGTACCCCCGGAAGTGCCCTGTGCAACCCACCGCTCACCCAGATGATGACGTCGCTGCGGGCGCGCTCGAGGCGCATCTTCAGGTACGCCAGGTCGATGTTGTGCTGCAGGATCTCATCGTCCTTCTCCTCCATGTAGCGGGCCAGCCACGCCTTGGCATGCTTGATCTTCTCCTGGCCCTCCTGCACCGACTGAATGAGGTCGGAGTGCATGTTCACCAGCGTCTTGTAGCGCGCCATCACCTCGTGGGCCTCCTCAAACTGCAGTTGTGGGTGGAGGAGGGCTCGGGTCACTGCGCAGCGGCCCCAGGACCCTGTGCGGCTGCCCCTGCTCCCTGCCAACTTCCCGCCTAGGTTCCTTGTCTAGAAGACGGGCCCAGGGGCAGAGGCCCTGAGGCCACTGCAGTCCCGCTGCTTGCTTCTCTTGGATTGGTAAGGGCCATGGGCCATATGTTGGGGGCACGTGCAGCTGGACCAAGGGTTCTCAATCTTAACAGCATGTTGGAATCATGCAAGAAACTTTAAAAAGGACACCTGGCAGGTTCTACCCCAAGAGATTTGGATTAATAAACTGGTCAGGACTTCCGGTCAAGATGGCAGGTAGGTAAACGGTATCACGTCCTCCCACAACCACATCAAAGTTACAACTAAACTACAGAACAACCATCATTCAAAACCGCCTGAAATCAAGCTGAATGGAAGTCCTACAACTACGGAATTGAAGCAGCAGCCACATCCACACTGGTAGGAGGGGCGGAGGGGCTGGTCCCACACCCACGTGTGGTGGATAAAAATCAGGAGGACACTTCGGCTGGGAAGGTCCTTCCTGAGGACTGAGGGGTCCCCGTCCCACACCAGGTGCCCCGCTCAGGGTTCCAGTGCCAGGAAGAGAGTCCCCATAACTTCTGGCTGGAAAAACCAGCGGGAACTGAGGCTCAGGGAAGCTGACGCAGCTGGAGCCCCAGGCAGCTCCCTAAAGGGCCGGTGCACGGACTTATCGGACTCTCTCCCTCTAAGCTTGGAGGGGAGGCAGCTCGAGGGGCGCCAGAGACATACAGGGAAGAACTGAGCTGTTTGGCACTGGAGAGGGGGCTTTCTTCGGGACAAATGTGCTGTCAGAGGCCTTTGTTTCTTTGGTGAGCCCTTCTCTGGGGCGGCAGATAGCCGCCATATCTGGGACTCCACAACCTGGCTCACACTGGTAGCCCCGCCCTGCTGACTCCCTGAGGCTCCACCCCACCCAACCTTCAGGCCCACCCAAGCTGTTGCCAGTTGCTTAACCATAGGATTGGCCTGTCTTGGATCCTGCTTCAGGTTTTCCTAAATTCTTTCAGACAAGCTGCATCTGGTGTCAGCTAGCCCCATACCTCTCATTAAGTAATATACAGAAACAAACACAGGGAGGCAGCCAAAATGAGGAGACAAAGAAACAGGTCCCAAATGAAAGAACAGAATAAAACCCCAGGAGAACTAAGGGAAATGGAGATAAGCAACCTAATAGGTGCTGAGTTCAAAATACTGCTTATAAGGAGGCTCAATGAACTTAGTGAGAACCTCAGTGAACTTAGGGAGGGCCTCAAGAACATAAAAAAGGATCAGTCAGAAATGATGCATGCACAGTCAGAAATGAAGGAGGCATTAAGTGAAAAAAAGAATAATTTACACAGATTCAATAGTGGAGTACGTAAATCCAAGAAACAAACCATCGATTTGGAATATAAGGAAGCAAAAGACGCCCGGTCAGAACAGCAAAAAGAAAAAAGAATCCAAAAAAAACGAGGATAGTGTAAGGAGCCTCTGGGACAACTTCAAGCGTGCCAACATTCGCATCTTGGGGGTGCCAGAAGGAGAAGGGCGAGAACAAGAAATCGAAAACCTGTTTGAAACAATAATGGCAGAAAACTTTCCCAACTTGGTGAAGGAAACAGACATACAAGTCCAGGAAGCACAGAGAGTCCCAAACAAGATGAACCCCAAGAGGCCCACACCAAGACACACCATCACCAAAATGCAAAAGGTTCAAGACAAAGAGAGAATCTTAAAAGCAGCAAGAGAAAGGCAGCTAGTTACCTACAAGGGAGTTCCCATAAGGCTGTCAGCTGATTTCTCAAAAGAAACTTTGCAGAACAGAAGGGAGTGCAAGAAATATTCAGAGTGATGAAAAGCAAGAACCTACAACCAAGATTACTCTACCCTGCAAAGCTGTCATTTAGAATCAATGGCCATATAAAGAGTTTCCCAGACAAGAAAAAGTTAAAGGAGTTCATCACCACCAAACCGTTATTATATGAAATGATGAAGGGTCTTTTTGAAAAAAAGATAAAATATATGAACAAACAAAATGGCAATGAATACATATCTATCGACAATGGAATCTACAAACAAAATGAACAGGCAGAATAGAAACATTCTCATAGATACAGAGAACATTTTGTTGGTTGCCAGATGGGAGGGGGGTTGGGGGAATGGGTGAAAAAGGTGAAGGGATTAAGAAGTACAAATTCATTGCTAGACTGACAAACCTCAAAGGGAAAGGGGTTGGGGGGTGGGAAGAAATAAACCAAAGAACTTATATGCATAACCAATGGACACAGACAATAGTGTGGGAAAAGGCGGGAGGGAGGTGGGAGTGGGGAGGAGGGGGTCAATGGGGGAAAAATGAGGAACATCTGTAATACATTCTACATTCAACAATAAAGATTAAAAATAAATAAATAAACTGGTCTGAAGTGGTCCCTGGCATCTGAATTTGGCAAACTCCGCCCCTGCCCTCCCTCCCCCATTCTAGAGCTGAGAAGCGCTACAGGGAATAGCCTGAGAAAAGATGGTGGGCGGTGTGTGTGTGTGTGTGTGTGTGTGTGTGTGTGTGTGGTGTTCAGGATGCTCAAGAAAGGTTAGTATGAATGACCTGAGTTCAAGATGGGGAGGGAGAGATGGACCTGGAGAAGTAAAAAGAAAAGTGCCCAGTAAACCCTGAGAAGGGGTGTAGACTTTATCCACTGAAGGATTTTAAGAAGCAGAGCGAGAACTTCCTGTCTGTAGGAAGGGGAGGGGTGCACTTTGAGATGTTTCCCAAGGCAGTGATGATCCTATTCAATAAGAATGTACCAAGAACCACATTCAAGGCAGGAACTATGCTAACTGCTAGGGACAGAGCAGGAGATAAGACAGGCAGACCCCACTCTTAAAAAGCCTACAACTTGGGGTGGTGTGGAGGGAAAACAGGCAGGCGAGTAAATATTTACAACACCGATGATAAGCCTTATCTATGACTGGGGGATGGGGCTGGAAGGAGACTGTGGGGGTAAGATCTTCAACATGGTGCTCTCTGGAATTTGTTCAATATTTGCTGAGCTCTCCCTCCAGCAGAGGCTGGAGAGGGTACCAGTGGGGCAGGAGGCCTGTGAGGCTCAGCTGCCTCCTCCATGCCACGCTGGCTCTAACTTGCAGGCCCCACGCAGGAGAGAAGCCCTTTGACCCTCTCTGTTTAGAAGGCGGTGTGAGCACCGGGATGTCAACTCACCTACCCAGAGGTTTATCCAAGGGAGTTTTCCAGCCACCCAGGGACTCTTCCTGAGCACTTTGCTCATCTCATGACATTTCCAGTGACAGATTGGTGTTCTAGGAACTTCCCTGCTGGCCTTTCCCCAAATATACCTCTGTGGAGAAGGGCCACTCAGTCCAGCATTAGAGGAGGTGGGAACAGCCAGAATGGGTTTCTTGGGGGAAAGGATGACTAACACGAGACTAGAGGTATGAACAGAAAATAGCCAGGAAATGCAGGTGGGGGAAGGTAAGGAAATATTACAGGTAGAGGGACGAGCCCCGGAAAAGATCATGGAGAGTGTGTGGCATGTTCAGGAGGCTCAAGAAAGTTTGGTAAGAACGACCCGAACTCAAGATGGGGAGGAGAGATGGACCTGGAGAAGTAAAAAAGTGCCCAATAAATCCCAAGAAGGAGGGTGGACTTCATCCACTGAAGAGTTTTAAGAAGCAGAGAGAACTTTGTTTTGGAACATTCGCTCAACACACGATGCAACAGCCTATGGTTGAAATGAATGGACCACATCAGGCCTCCAGGAGCTCTGCTCCCAAACTTAACACTGATGGCAAAAGGACCCGGGTGCCCACTCGAAGAGGCTCCCACTGTCCAAAGATGGGACACTTCGAACGTCAGTTAGAATCAGTGCAAAGGATTAAAACATGTCAGACAGGTTAAAAACCCATGTGCTCATAATGGTTATAACAACAGCACAGGTCAGTTTTGGAGGATGCTGGAGAACCAACTAATTATTCTGAAAACTGTAATAAAGTACCAAGCATTTCACTAGCTGCTTCTTTAGACCATGTAGTGACCAAACAGTTGATGAAGGAAAAATTCTCTTAATGAAGTCCTCTTCCTGATGGCAGGATTCTAGTTATCTGTGAAGAAGGAATGACAACATTTCCAGCACCCTAGAAGGGTCTTCTGCCCCCTGCTACCAAGGATATCAGAATTGTGCCGTCTATCACCAAAGATTCATTTTACCTGTTTTCAAACACTTCATGGGAACCATACAGTATGTCCTCTTTTATGTTTGGCTTATTTTGATCAGCATAACAATGTCTGTGACCTGAGAAACATATCAACCAATGCAGTGTGGGGACCTTGTTCGGACCCTGGTGAGAACAAACCAACTGTCCAAAAAGCATTTGTGCAATAATGGGGGGATTTTTAACATCAACTGGATATTTAATATTAAGGAATTACTATCAAATTTTTACTAGGTTGTGACAATGGTATTATGACTATATTAAAAAGAGCTCTTTGTCAGCCTGTGGTCCAGAGAGACCCGTTCGGTTCCCACTGGGAGCACGCGCCTCGGTTGCGGTTTGTCCTCGGCCCTGGGTGGGTCGTGTGGGAGGCAGCCACTCGATGTGTCCCTTTCGCATAGATGTTTCTCTTTCTCTTCCTCTCTCTCCCTCCCACTCTCTCTGAACAAAAAGTGGAAAAATGTGTTCAGGTGAGGATTAAAAAAAAAAAAGCTCTTCTTTTTAAGAGTTAAGTTCCAGAGTACTTATGGATAAAAAAATATAATTTGCTTCAAAATGGCAGAGGTGGGAGGTTTGGGGGATTTGACTATGAGTTGATAATTGCTGGAATTAGGTGATGAGTAATGGGCATTCAATAGCTTATTCTCTCTATTTTTGTATATTTTGAAATTTTCCATAATAAAAAAAAAGGTTTTAAAAGTTTTTAATCAAAAAATGTAAGTCACAAAAGGACATGTCCAATACTATTAGTAGTTTATGGATGTGTAATATGTTGCCAAAGCAATAAAAATGAACATGTGAAAGAGAAATAAGAAAATCAGAGATCTGGTCACCTCTGAGGAGAGGGGAAGAAGAACGGGCTTGGAAGGGGCCACTCAAGGGGTTTCGATGACCTGTAGTGTTTTATGGGAGAGAAAAGAATTAGGGGCAAATATTGAGATTTGACACAACTGTGGTGAGTACTGGGTGCTATTATACATTCTCTACACTTTTCAGTAGCTTAAAATATTTTGAAAGAAGGAAAGAGGCAGAGGTGGGGATCCCACCGGCGATAGAACGCTGGACAGGCCGGTGGCCAGGAATAACGCAGAGCGGAACTGCAGATGAGGTACGCTGGTGGTCTGGATGAGGAAGGGGCAGGGACTGGATTCCAGAAATACTTAGGAGGCAGAATAGACCAGAGCGGCTGATTGATGGCTGTGGGGAATGCGGGAGGAGGAAGAGTCAAGGATGAGGCTCAAGTTCTGGTGAGGCTGCGGGTGGGAGGCAGTGGGTGGGTGGCCATGCCATTCGCCAGCACCAGACTGGGGATGGCAGGAAGCAGACGAGTCGTGGGCTCCATAAATTAGATGTAGGGCCTGAAGCTCAGGAAGGAGACATAGGACAGCAAGATACAGGCCGTCTCCTCAGTTCTCAGACATACATGTCCCAGCTCTGAATTGGAGTCACATCTTATCATTTATCTGCTGCTTTAATATAGTAGTCTTCCCTCACCACCCCCCCATCCTAATTATTAAATAAATAATTTATCAGATTTCTTATAATGGAGGAAATAATGTGGATTTGGAATTCAGGCATATAAATTAGGTTCGTGGTTCTGCATGGAAACTGCTGGGACTTTAAAAGGCTGTGCGCCTTTGTCTGTCTGCAGCCCCCACGGGCCGTTGATCCACACCCGGGGGCATACCTCACACATCATCGCGCCCTGGTGAGGGGTCCTACCTGCTGTGGCACATGGGAGCATGAGGAAAAGAGCGTGGGGAGCCACCAGCAGGGGGCAGCCACGGGAGGCCCAGGGGACAGGAGAAAGTGGAGGGTCTGGAACAAAGACCTGAGGAACATTTAGGGCAAGAGCTAGGAAGAGGGGCCCAGAGGAGCCTGAGGAGGAAGGACCGGAGGTAGGAAGAAAGTAGGAGAGGGAGGGAGGGGTCCAGAGGAAAGGGCAAAGGTATGTTTAAAGGAGCAGCATCAACAGTGTCCAATACAGTTGACCCTTGAACAATGCAGGGTTTAGGAGCGATGCTCCCCGTGCAGTGGAAAACCCACATATAACCTTTGATTCCCCACAGACTTAACTACTGATAGCCTACTCTTGACTGGAAGCCTTCCTGATAACATAAACAGCCGATGAACACATATTTTGTATGTTATAGGTACTATATACTGCATTCTTACAACAAAGTAAGCTAGAAAGAAGAAGATGTCACTGAGGAAGAGAAAAGACACTTCCAGCGCTGTACTATATTTAGCGACACTGCTCCTTTATGTCATCTGTGTTAAACGACTTGGTTCGTCTGCGAGTTTTTTCAAATTGCCTATTGAAAAAAATCGCATAGAAACGGACCTGTGTCGCATAGAAACGGACACAGTTCAAACCTGTGTTGTTCCAGGTCAACCGGACTGCGGGGTGCATGGGTGGGAAGAGGGTGGAGAAGTTCCTGCAGCTCTGGAAACGGGGCAACTTCAGGAAGAGCACTGTGGGGCCCACAGAGGAGTGGTTAGAAGCAAGGGCTCCCTCTTTCAGGCTGTGAGGCCCTGCGCAGGTTATCTAGCCTCTCTGAGCCTCTGTTCCCTCCTGGCGGCGAAGGAGTGGACTGAATGAAGTCACACGTGCAGCTGCCGCCCAGGGCTCAGCACAGAGCAAGCTCTCAAACTGCCGTAGGCTGCGTGCTCTCCTGTTCCTCTCCCTTTTCACTCTCAAGTAAACAGAAACTCCAGGGACATGGGGACCGAACTGGGCCACATCCAGAGGCAGGCAAAGCTTGTCGTTGGTGCCACAAAAAGAAACCTCGTTTCCCCAACACACAACACAGCGCCCATAGGGAGCCGTTTACACAGCTGTCACCCGCACAGACACCAAGATACAGCACCCCGTCCCCAACCCTGACCAGGGGCCTTTTCCAGCTGCCCTCACTGTAGGGTGACCATTTCTGCAGAAGGTCCCCACGGTCAGGGAAGGAGAGGTGGGGCTGAGGAAGGCACCCCTCCTCACGCACCTGGGAGTTCTCCACCACCTTCTCCAGGTACTTGTTGAAGATGGAGTAGTCCTGCAGCTTGCTGCTGAGCCGCTGGTGCTGCAGCCGCAGGGCCGCCATCTCCTGCTTGGCCTTGGCCAGCTCGCGCATGCGCTGCCTCCTGAGGTCCCTCTCCTTGTTGGCCTTCTTCAGGGCACGGACCCGCTTCTGGTCGTTCTCCTGGGGCCAGGGAAGTGGCGTCTGTCAGGCACTTGCCTTGCCCACCCTGGGACCCAGCTGGTGGTGCCCCACACTGGGCCTGTTTGCTGAGCTCAGCAACCCTTAGGATGTGCAGGGATCATCCAGGTGGGTGAGAAGGTCTGCTTTCCCCCCCTGATTTGGTAGTTGGTGCCTCAGTTTCTCCAACTGTGGAAGTGAGAGGCATTTCCAAAATGCCTCCCAAAAGCTGGGAAAATAGTGCTCGAGCCATAGGGAGATGAGAGAGGGGACGGGCCTGCTCCAGAGGGCCTGGGGGCAAGGCCATGTGACAGAGCATGTAGCTGATAGCTCAGACTGGCCTCAGGCTCAGGCAGGGGGAAATGATGCAGGCAATTCAACGCCCAGAAAAAGACATGGGGCTCAGCTACTGCAACCAGGCCGACACTTTCTCCTTCCTTCTGCAAAGCCCTCCCCCCAAGAATAGAGGGCAAACCCACCCCTCAAATGCACTCATGTGGCTCCTTCCCCTGTGATTCCACACGGGTGGGCATATGTGCTGGCGGCACTTGCAGGAGTGTGGAGAAGGCACACAGAGGACTGGCATGGTGCCCTGTAAGCCCAGGAGAGGACTGAAGGGCCCCAAACCAGTGGTTTCAGGTCCAACTGTACATCACAATCTCCTGAGGGGCTTCTTAAAAATGTAGTTGCCTGGGCCGGACCTCAGTCCTGCTGAAAGCAAGGAGAAAGGAGAGTCCCAGGCTCTGTATCTGTAGCAAGCTTTCCAGGATTCTGCCACTGTTGGTCTCTGCTGGCCATCTGGAGAACCCCTCACCCCCAAATTTCCTGTTTCCCCAACCTCTCCACTAGCTTTTCTCTGGTCAGTAAGAAGGTCTGGGCCTTTGGAGAATATGCCTGGTCCATCAGCTTCTTTCCCCACCTGGTTTAGGCCCAGAGCAAGACAGAGGTTGCTTAAGAGCAGGGTCCTCTGTAGCAGAGGCCAGTGATTTCTCCCTGGAGCTGGGCCAGGCCGTTCCTTCTGGATTTTAAAATGGTGAAATCACTCCTCAAAAGACCAGTGGAGAGGATTTGCTCAGAATGGACTCTGATGCCTGGTCCTTCCACCACCCCTTCTCTGGACCCTCAGTGTTAGGAGGGAAGGGTGGGGAGAGTTGAGGGGGGGACTAAAACTCTGCCTGATTCATCTTTGTATCTCTAAGTAGCCCATTCATTCATTCAATAAATTGTGTGAACCAGGTATGGGCAAGGAAATGGTAAATGGACATCTAGAAGGAGCAAAGATGGACAAGTAAACAAGAAATTACAAACAGCAATAAGTGGGGACATAAAGGGAGAAACCCCAGGTATTGTTGAGCACTGAAGAGACATCTAATCCAGGGTGAGGAATCAGCAAAAACAAGAAGGAAGAAGAGGAGGAAGACGTGGAGGAGAAGGAGGGGGAGGAGGGGACTGCAGAATGTGGGTTTCCACACTCTGATACCTGGATGAATTGTTCAAACTTCTGAATGTGGGCATTCAGCTGGGCCTCCTTGGTGCCCAGTTCCTCCCAGCGCACGTTCATTGTTTCCATTCTACTCTGAAATGTCTTGGGGTGGAGAGAGCAGAAAGGTCAGGAGGGCCTCTGACACGGGTACCAAGGAAGGCCCCAGCACCCTCTGCTCAAGTACCTCTATCCCCAGACCTCCCACTTTCCACCCCACACCTGGTTCAGAGCGGAGCATCCCAGGACACTGGTATCCCCCAAACTCAGATAATTTCTGTCTTTATAGAGGGAACACAGAACCACTATCCAGGACTTCTGGCACTAGCTACTGTCACCCACAAATTGAAGGGCTGTCCCGGTGGCCCCTGCACCCCATCCCAGTCCCCTACCTCCTTCTTCTGCAACATAGCATGGTGCATGATCTTGGTCTCCTTTTTCTTCTCCAGTAGCTGGATAGATGGGGACGCTGTCTGCTCTCCAATGTGGGGGAACTTCCTGTCCAAGACATGGGCAAGAGGGGCCTGAGGCAGGCTGGGACTGGGAGTAACCCGTGGAGACAGAAAGCCATGGGGAGGGAAGGGAGTCCTGTTCCCATCTGAGTGAGAGGAATGGTGTGTTGAGAGGAAGAGAGGACTGTGTGATGTCCAAGGAGCCAAGTGGAGCCTGGTGATAAGCGGTGGATTGGTGCCAGGGTGATGGGGCAGGACGATCTGGGACACTGGGTTATAGGGGTGAGAGGGGTTGCAAGGTGGGGCATGGGTGGGTATGGGAGGTCCCAGGCACAGACCCGAAGACACTCACTTAAGTAGTTGTAGCAGCCGCTCCCCATACTGCAACCTGAAGTACTCGGCCAGGTCTTCCTCTTCCATGATGCCCAGGCTCAGGGTGGCAGTGACCTGAGGCCTGGGCAGCCAGACCTTCACAATAAGACTGGGTGGTGGAGCCACAGGTATGCAGGAGTGATTAGGCTCTTGCTTCTCCTTTCTGCCTACTTTTCAGGGTCCACAGGGGCTGGGTGTCCGAGAGACTCCTGGAAAATGCTGGAGGCTGAGATCAGCAGCGACCCGAGATCCGGTCACCTAGCAACAGGCCGTTTGGTTCCGTGGACCACACAGGGAACGCAGGCGTTCCCCTCTGACCCCTGTCCCCGCTGGCCCCACTGCAGCTGGGGTCCTGCTCTCTGCTCCTGCGTTCACCCCACGGGAACTTCGGAAAGAAGTCAGGCCTGGTCAGATGCTGTTGTCCAGTCCGGGACGCAGGGTCTGGGCGCCCATGGCTGAGAAACGGGCTTTGGGTAGAGGGGTGTCCTGTGAGCGCCCTGGGGCCTCCCTCGGGGTTCAGGGTGTGTGAGGGTCAGGGCGGAGGCTGGGCTGGGGACATGGCCAAGAAGACAAGGAGAGAAGGAAGGGAGGCGCTGGGCGCAGGCCGGGCCGGTGGACAAAGAAGCTGGGACCTGCGGAGGCCCGGAGCTGAGAGCCGAGGGGCGAGGGCAGCGTGGGGTGCGTGGGGGGGTGGGGGGGGGGCGGACAGGCAAGAAGCCTGGGAACTACAGAGACTTTCCCGGGAACACGGAGGAGGGCCGGGGGCAGAGAGCCTCGGAGGGTAACACGCCTTCTTTTGAGGCTGGCGGAATATTAAGACACGAAGATGTGTCAAACCGTGGTGCCACGAATGTCACGTATGTTACGTGTTTACCTGACGCCGGCTGCCCGCCTGAACCCCAGAGCATTGTGCGAGCTCATCTGGCCGGAGGGTCAGAGTCTAAATGGGGACCCTGCGTGCGGAGCGGGTGCCCTGGGGGGTGCCGGCTCGGCTCCCCGGCTCCGCTCTGCGCCCTCCGCACCCCGGCCCACGCCTGCCGAACCGCCTGGCTCCGCTCCGGGTCTGGGAGCGTGGGGTCCCCGCCGGGGGCGGTGTCCCGAGCTCAGCAAGCCCACCCCGCGGCATTTCCCGTCCTCTGGCGCCCCCTGCTGGCAGCACCCCCACCGCAGCCCGAAATCCTGGCCTGGGAGGAGGAGACTGGGGGCGAGGGGCGGGGGGACGCTGCTAACCCCCGCCTTCCCCCATTTACACACCCTAGTCTTTCTTCCAGCCAGCCCTGGGGGCTCAGCAGAGGCAGTAGTATAGACCACACCTCACCCGGGAACACACCCACCTACCCACCCCCTCACCATGCCCCCGCCCCCCCATTCCCTCAACCAGAGATGGTTCTCCACTGACAGGGTGACAAGAAGAACACCAACAAAGATGGTAAGCTCCTCAAAGGGGTATGTTTCTCTTCTTGTTTATCCCTACAGTCTGGCACAATCAATTTGGGGGTTCCCTTCTTTTTCCTTGAGGGGGCCTGGGGAATGCCAACCCTTGTGGAGGAGGCTCTCTGTTTCTCAATCACCAGTTTGCCCTGGTAGAATATAGACACATCCTTGGTTGGTGCATACAGGGAAGACATCCTCTCCTGCCTGTGCACCCCCCACACCTGGGGGCTCTCTCTGCACCTCCTCTGTACCTTGCAGGAGAGACACGAGAATCTTCATGGCCATCACCCGCCCCTAACCCTCCCTGGGGTCTCACTGTCTCCCCAGGGACTACCCAGCAAGATCAGAGCTGCCTGAGATTCACAAGGCCAGTGTTCTCCCAGCCCTCCTCCTGCTTTCTCCCCTCCTCCTTTCCTGTCTTGGTATTTGCCTCTGAGGCATCTAGCAAAGTCTCCTAACGGACCTAGGTTGTTGGAAACCAATAAGCTTAATATTTTCTGTTTTCTGTCTTGTCTCATCCTCCCTCTGAGACAATTATCAGCTTAAAAAGGGGGAGAAGGAAATACCAGGAAAAAATTAGGTTAATGCAAATATTTTCCTATCATATGGACCAGCATAGTGCTGGGTACACAATAGAATATCTGGTATAATAAGAAAACTGCTTTTTATCTGTTATATTCCATTCCGTATGTCTTCCATTTCACATAAGTGGATCATGCAGATAAATTCTATTAAATACATTTGTGTCACTTAACAAAGGGGATATGTTCTGAGAAATGCATTGTTAGGCAATTCTGTTGTGCCAACATCATAGCATTTGAACACAAACCCAGGTGGTATAACCGACTGCACACCTGTATATATAGTACAGCCTACTGCTCCCAGCTACAAACATGTAGAGTATGTTACTGTACTGAATACGTTAGGCGCTTGCAACACAGTTTTATTAGTGTGTTTAAACGTATGTAAACACAGCAAAGGTACATTAAAAATATGGTATAGAAGCTGCAAAGCAGTACATCTGTATAGGGCACACATGAATGGAGCTGGCAGGGCTGGAAGATGCTCTGGGCGAGTCAGCGGGTGAGTGGGCAGCGAATGGGAAGGCCAAGGTCGTTACTGTCCACCACGCAGACTTTATAAACACTGTATGCTTAGCTACACTAAGTGTATAAAAATGTTTTTGTCTATTTATTAATAAACTAGCCTTAGCTTACTGTAACATTTTTACATTCTACACTTTACAAAGTTTTTAACTTTTCAACTCTTTCGTAACAGCACTTAGCTCAAAACACAAACACGTTGTACAGCTATGCAAAAATGTTTTCCTTCTTTACATCCTTATTCTATACGTTTTTCCCCCCCTTAAACAGTCTTTGTTACTTATTAAATATTTTTGTTAAGAACTAAGACACAAATGCACACAGCAGCTCAGACCTGCAGAGGGTCAAGGTCATCAGTACTGGTGTCTTCCACCTCCACATCTGGACCCTACTGGAAGGTCTTCAGGGCCGTGTATGGAGCCGTCCTCTCCTAAGACAACAATGCCTTCTCCTGGAGGACCCCCTGAAGGACCTGCCTGAGGTTCTTCTGGAGGGGGTATCACCCTTTTGAGAAATATGTCTATGGTGGTTTGCTTCTTTTTTTTTTCCATCATAGATTTGCTTATAAGCGGATAATGTACCATGAACAGTTCTCTCTATTAATGAAAACCTTACGATGTTGGGGTCCATGTTTTCAAACTTTCTAAGGAGCTTGTTGAAGTCTGCAAAAGCTTCTGCTGAACCGCTTACTGTATAACCTTAAGGGACCACTGTTACACGTATATGCTATCTATCCTTAACCAAAATGCAGTTGTGTGACATATAGCTATGTTTCAAGATGGTAGTGTATTGTGTGGTATTGTATTGCATTAAAAAAAAATTTTCTTTTTCTTTATTGATTTTTAGAGAGAGAGGAAGGGCGAGAGAGATAGAAACATCAATGAGAGAGAACATCGATTGGCTGCCTCCTGCATATCCCCCACTGGGGATCGGGCCTACAACCTGGGTATATGCCCTGACCGGGAATTGAACCGGTGACCTCTTGGTGCATAGGTCGACACTCAACCACCCAGCCACATGGGCGGGGCTGATATTGTATTGTATTGCATTGCATTAGTTACTGTAACAAACAATTTCAAGTTTCAATAGCTTAACAAACTCTAGTGTGGATTTTCCTAGTGGGGTGGTTCTCCTGGGAGATTTTCTTCCAAGCAGTGAAAGGTATATGCCTTTTGCATCTTGCAGCTCCAAGACCTCCATGGTTGCTGTGGAAGGGAAGAGAGAGAGAGAGAGAGAGAGAGAGAAAGGCCCTTCTGCTCTGAACAAACTTACCATCGCTTTTGTGCCCTGGTTTTGGTGGAAACCAGTCACAGTCACATGCAAGGGGCTGGTGATGTGATTTAGCTGTGTTCCCGGGAAGAGGAAACTGATCTGATGAACATCAAACCAGTTTGTGCCGTACTCCTGAGAATTAAAAGGACGTTTGGAAGTAAGCTAAAAGTCGGGCTTCATAAACAAACTAGTTAACAAAGAAAAAAGACAGGCCAATCACAATCTCATATATGAAAATCTTAATGGAAACATTATCAAATTTAATTTAGTATAATATTAAAAAAAAGAATCCACCAGAACCATGAGTACAAAAATGGTTTAATAGTAGGAAATCTACTAATACAATTAATTCTATCAATATGTCTCAAGAGAAAAGGTTTATTATTATTGCAACAGATGCCAACATGGCATTGAAAACTTCAACATTCATCCTGATTGAAAAACAAACAAACTGCCCTGGCCAGTTTGGCTCAGCAGTTAGAGCGTCAGCCCGCAGACCAGAGAGTCCTGGGTTTGGTTCCCACTAAGGACACATACCTCGGTTGCAGTTTGTCCTCGGCCCTGGTTGGGATTGTGTGGATGGCAACCACTCAATGTGTCTCTCTCACATCGATGTTTCTCTCTCCCTCTTCCCCCCTCTCTCCTTCCCACTCTATCTGAAGATAAATGCAAAAATGTCCTCTGATGAGGATAACAAACTATTAGTAAACAAAGGCACTTTATTAACATGATTAAAAAAAAAATCTGAACCCTGCAGATAACATTAAAATTTACACTAAAGACTTAATTGTTAAAGTTAGGAACATAGGCTTTCTTCTGTCACTACAATCATTTTGCTTTGTTCTGGATACTCGAGCTGTTGAAAAAAGACAATAAAATTAAGTTTTCTGCCCTGGCCGGTTTGGCTCAGTGATTAGAGTGTCGGCCTGCAGTCCAGAGAGGCCTGGGTTCAGTTCCCGTTAAGGGCACGTACCTCGGTTGCAGTTTGTCCCTGACCCTGGTTGGGTCGTGCGGGTGGCAACCACTCGATGTGTCCCTTTCACGTCAATGTTTCTCTCTCTCTCTCTCTCCCCCTCCCACTCTAGCTGAACAAAATATGGAAAAATGTTCTCGGGTGAGGATTTAAAAAAAAAATTAAGTTTTCTTTTTTTACATAATGAGAGATGCTGTGATCATGTACTGTGAAAAGCCAAGAATGGTTAACTAATAAAAAATGGTCAGAATTTAATGTAATACTATACACGTTATAAAGAGTGAGGTTGGTTTAAGTCTTTTTATTTTTTTTATCCTCACCCGAGGACATTTTTTGATATTTTGTTTAGATAGAGTAGGAGGGAGAGAGAGAGAAACATCGACGTGAAAGGGACACATCGAGTGGCTGCCACCCACAAGACCCAACCAGGGCCGGGGACAAACTGCAACCGAGGTACGTGCCCTTAGCGGGAACCGAACCCAGGTCTCTCCAGACCGCAAGCCAATGCTCTAACCGCTGAACCAAACTGGCCAGGGCGTGAGGTTGGTTTATATGCATGGACATGGAGAGGTATCTGTGATAAACCATGTGACAAAAGCAAGAGGCAGAACAGTATGTACAGTGTGACCTGGTCAGTGTGTGTGGATTCGTGCGTGCATAATTAAGTATAGAAAAAGCTGTAGAAAGATATTACTATACCTCTGGGGAAGGAAATGCCATTGGTGAGGGTAATGGTTCTTTTACTTTTTACTCTTTTTATTTCTGTATTGTTTAATTTTTTTTTTCTCGCAATGACTGTATGTGGCTAGAGTGGGTATCCTTGTCTGGTACTGAATCTTAGAGGAAAAACTTTCAGTTTCCCCTATGGATTATGTTAGCTGTGCACTTTTTGTCAATTGTCTTCATTGTGTCAAGGACATTTTTTTTTTTTTTTTAATCCTCATCCGAGGACATTTTTCCATTTTTTGTACAGACAGAGTGGGAGGGAGAGAGAGGAAGAGAGAGAGAGGGAAACATCGATGTGAAAGGGACACATCGAGTGGCTGCCACCCGCACGACCAACCAGGATCGGGGACAAACTGCAACCGAGGTACGCGCCCTTAGCGGGAACCGAACCCGGGCCTCTCCAGACCGCAGGT